TTACGACTCCGTACTACAGGACCCCGTTTATTACGAATCTGAGAATAAATCCGAGCTGAATTATGTACGATATAGTGCTCTGTAACGCGCTCGACATTCTAATAGAATATTTTAAACCTAAAATGTTACTATAATAGAAAAAAACTTTAAAAAAATCGAGGAAATTCAACCGACGACGCTTACCCGAAAGGCCGATGTTTTTGACTAACTCGTCCTAACCTCCAATATTTTTCCTCATCGCTGGATGGTATGTTGTTAGTTGGTGCGCCACTGAATTCAACGTATGTCATCAACCATCTCACCTCTTCTTTCGCGTCCGATGAATGATGTAATTCTTGTTGTGTTGAGCTCAGCTTTTTGATAGAAAAACTTTTTGACTTTCGGCGCTCGACAACTTTAGTAACAAGTTCGGTAAGGAAAGGGATTTTATTTTTTATCATACTAACGAATATTCTCGCTTATGAACCGAAGTTTTAAGTACTACTAGTTATCAAGGACCAGACTTAATTCATTCCTGAGGTCAACATTTCACATGTGCCACACATCGGTCAGGAGCCTCAATAATATCTTCCTGTAGGAGCCAGAAAGTGCAAAAATGAACTCAGCCAGTAAAGTGAGTATTCATCTTACTTCCAATATTTTCCTTGATTTCGTTTAAGTATTCCCTAATGAATGGATTCATACCACTCAGAATACCTCTGTGTGAAATAAGTCAGATGCACTCATTGCGGAGCATTGTGATTACAACGACAAAGTCTAGAAGATGAGTAATTTGCTGTTATCAATGAAGAGTTTCTCCCTATTGATTGGCGACTCTGCAGATTACTATACTGCATCCCTCAACTGATTCTTAGATACTAAAGTCACAGCAGGTAATGTCTCTGCCTGTGCAGGGGCGCCAAAATTTTCCAATCACGCAATTATGATCTCCTAGTCGCTCACACGCCAAAATGGAAAGGCCATATAATTTTGGAAAGCCAGTTTGCCACTAGGTTAGCATTCCACATTATTCAGAAAGTTGCTGTGAAATTCGCATTTTTTCTGTAGAGATGCAGTTCTATTAGCGTGACTTTTGCTTAAATGCTGCAATTTGTGATGATAAGTAATCTACATCCCTGCATGTGCCAGAAGCGCCATTCCTCCTCCTGTATGATGACTCGCAGCATACATTTATATCCTTGCGGGGATATAAATGTATGTTGCGAGCCGTCACACCTGTACTCTGCGTTCTAATATTCTCGGAAGTCAATGCCAAATAGTAAACCCTCCTGCTATAACTCATGTTAGCTTCAAGATCTACCATCATTGCACAGCTGGTTTCAGTCTTTCAGAGATCTCTCATGTATACTCCAGACTAAAGGCATCTCTACCTCCGTAAGATGAACCTCTCCTCCTCGTTCTGTTCTGTCTTTACGATTGTACTTTATATATGTTATAGGTCGGTGAAATTTTTACTACTGCTGGTGCTGCGTTTAATCAGTTGGGAGAATTGATTCTACAGTTACATCCCACAGCAGATTCACCTTCTGGGTAAGATCCTTTCAAAAAAATATTCAAAAAATCAGATAAGAAAGCTCAATTTCAGCTATTTTAAAGTCTTCTTCTCTGAACAACCATTGACATCAATTTTAACAGTAATACCTGGGATAAATGTTGATTTATTTTTCCCTAACCCAACTGAATATGTTGCTTTCAGTAAACACGTCGATGTGATTTTTGAAGGTTCTTTATCTTGTCCTCTTACAAAAAGAATCATGAATTGTAAATTCATACACACACCTTTTTTAATATCCAATCACTGGATAGTTTGCAGTAAAGCATATATTTGAAAACTAATTTTTTTCTTAATAGCAGCATTCTAATTTACTTGTATATTGTTGTAGGGGTAAATGGTCGGATGAGGAAATCGCGATGCTCCAGCAGTCAGTCGTAAAATTTATGGATGACTTGGCCCAGATCAGTGCTCACATTAAAAAGAAAACAGTGTAAGTTTTCTCAAAATTTATTTCAATTATGCCTCCATGTGATACAGATATGAGATGTGGAATGATGTCATGAATAGAAAGTTCATATTTTTTAATTTTCCAGATCAGTGCCCCTCATATGCAATGAGTTGTAATTTAATTGGTAGTAACCCATCAATGAGAGAACTCATTTTCAAGTGCACGATAACATTTCTATGGAGATCGATGCACAGCCTAGTTGTGAGTTGTTTCTGGGTCAAGAGTCCATTAGATACTATGGCATCCCTGCTAATGTTCCTAGTTAAATATTAAATATAGTTTTTTAGTATTTAAAACCAGCCAGAATTTTTGTTAAAAATCAGTCTCTAAGTGTTTTTATTTTTTTATTTCAAACGGGAAATAGTCCGTCACGAAGAAACTTTATTGAGATAGAATCCTCAACATGTACGTGTACACATTATATGGAAACCTCAGATTGGCGTGTGATGATCATAGCTCTATAATATCTGATTGCGCCGTATCTGAGTCATGAGGAGAATTTTTATTTTACCTGCAGATTTCCAAGGATAATGTCAATGTGTTAAGTACTTTTTTTGATAGGTGCAAATCGACACTGTTGCCAAATTTTTCATTTGCTTAGCATACTGGACTCACAAGCTCCCTCTCTCCATCCTTTTCAACTTACACCTTTTCTTGGAGAATTGAACAGAATCAATGAATCGCTGAATTTGCCCAAAGAATTGCTGTCTCTTTCATGAAAAATCTCAGTTAATTCATTTTTAGTTAACTTCCTCTCTTTTTTGTGATATCTTAGGATTGCAAAGTAGGGGAAATTTTGCATCTTTGCTCTGTCTAGTTCAGCCATGCATTCAAAGGAAAGTAGTTTTATTGACTGTATCAAGGGTGCAGAAACTTCCGTGCCACGGAACCGGTCAGTTCTGGTTCTGTTCTATGAAATAGGAGAACTCATTTGAGGATGAGGAAAATGGCGGAATCCTGTGAAATGTGGGAAGTTTTTTCTTGTTTTTTGAAAGGTGGGGAACAAAACATTTAAGGGCGCTGTTTTTGGGGGTACAAAACATTTAATCGCGCTGCTTTGTGGAAAGAAAACTGTCGACTGCGTTACCTTATGCGTCGAGCGAAATTCTAGGAAAACTTGAAATGGAGGAACTTCAATTTATTTTGGGGGAACCCTTTGAAGTTTCTGCACCCCTGGACTGTATGAGTCGATATTAGGAGAGTCATCTGCATTTGTCATTTTGAACTTCTTTAATGTATTTTTTAGGTCACAAATTCGATCAACTTTAAAGAAGAAAACATTTGAAGATGCTGGTATTCCTGTAAGGTCAATGTCACAGCAGTCAATAGTCGCACAACAACAGCAGCAACAGTCAATGATCGGGAAATCTGCAGAAGTTACCCTTAATATGTTGAATGCTCCGGAATCAGAAGTTGATGTCGAAGGAATGCACGAAGATGTTAATGTGAACTATGACGGAGCTAACGAAGAGGTTCATTCGTAAAATTTCCTCATTCGGATGGTCCTAAACTGGGTCAATTTGTCCATAGGTGACTATAATGCCTACTGCAAAATATGCGCCGGAATCGATTGATCTCTGAGTTTTATTTTAATTAAGAATGGTGTCATGTGTGCGCTTCCCGCTAAAGTGTAAAAAAAATGTAAAAACAATAATTGTAAATCTTCTCTGGGAGAACATGTATATAAGGAAACCATAGGAATATCGATATCTCAGTTGGAAAAATTTTATTGTTAATCCTGTTACTTAGTTATTTTGAGAATGAGCCATCATTTTACTGACCTAAAATAGATTCTTTAAAAAAATCCACCTCACCAAGCTAAAGGGTAAAATTTAAATGCAGTTCAAATATGAAGAAATTTAAAATATTTGAAGAAGTTGCCAGAAAAATGATCACATCGCCAGGCCCATAGCAATGGTAGAGGTCAAATCTCATTTTTTTGTTTGCAAGAGGTTAGCCTACATGGGAAAATATTCACCTTTGATCAATTTGATTAGTATTAATTGGTACATAGCCGACAAAATGAGTTTCTTTGTGATATTTTTCTCTTGTGTAACTAGCTTTGAAGAGTATTCTTTAAAACCAATGTTATGCGTTTTGATCAGTGACCAATTGCACATTAGGCTTTGAAAAAAAATCATTGGATTTTATGATTAAAAGGTTTCATTGATACATAATATGCAGTTAGAAAAGTGATAAAAATGTCCATGAAGACGTCGGCGATGTTTGATTCTTTATGATCGGTCGTAAACTTCATTTCAGAAATTGGTCTCCTATCTAAAGAACTTATTTTGTGTGTCCAATTCATTGAGTATTCATCATTTTCATTTATTCTATAGGATGATGATCTCTTTTCATGATAATAATTACACTCATTGGAAGGAAAGAAAATTTAAAGATCAATACCGAGCCTTATTCTATTTATTACTTATTTATACAGGAATTTTCATTGTCTGAAGTATTTACGTTTTTAATTTTATTTTTGAAAGTACCAGGGCACACACGTTTTTGTAATAATCTGTTCTTATATGGAACTTTTCAAAACTGCAAACATTTGAAAAATTCATTTTATCTGTGGACTTTTTTAATTAGGTATCTTTCTTGACATTCAACTATCACAATCAATTGTCATCTGGTTGGAAGTGAATGACATTTCGAGTTAGTTTTGAATAAAGTATTTTTGTAAAGTCACCAGTCTATTGACATTTTATTTTTTTCAAACTCTCATTTTCCAGTGATTTAATTTTCTTTTGTTCAAAAGGAAGAAAGCCGCTCATTAAATTTTCATCTTTCTATTCATCTTTGGTAGATCTTTAGTTCATTCTTTTGTTTTGAAATTTATTGGCTATCAAAAAACAATAATAAATGCAAATGAAATTCATGCATACTGCATCTATATTAATCATATCAAAATGAAAATGAACACATTCATACCGAGATGCAAATAATAATTTATTCCAAGTTAATGACCATTTTCAGGCATGCGGCTCATCATCAGTGCCAACTCAATATCACAAAGCTAAGTATAGTAGTAAACAAGCTTAGCAAGTTAAAGCAAGTAACGTTACATATTAAAAAGTACATAAAGTGATGAAAGCATAATTTCAAAGAATTGCTACAAATTAGAAAGAACAAGTTAGAAATAGAAAGGTACAGAGCGAACAAGCAGAAGTAGAAGTTTCTAAGTTTCTAAAACATGTATTTAATCTGCACTAATAGTTTGAACTAACAGTTTCTGTATTAGGTTGTATAGGAGTAATGATTACATTTTACTTCAATCAAAAATTTCGATGACTAGTCTTCAAACAGATAAGTGAAATTTTAAGTATATAAATAATAAATGATTTTTTTCTTTAAAAAAAAAAAAAAAAAAAAAAAAAAAAAAATTGGTCGAAAATACCTGTGTAAAACTGTGACCCATCTTTACTCCTTCAACAATTGAGCTCCATTCTCACTTTTTATTAAGTACCTTTCAGACGATGTACTTAATGATGTAAAGGGGGGCTGCCTTTTGAAAAAAAAGTGGGTGGGTGGGCCCACCCAGATAGTCCCCCAAAATTTTGAATATGGTAAAAATTAGCTCCTATTAATCAGAGAGAATCTCTAAAATTTCAAATATTTAGGTGCGACTGTTTCAAAATTAGTATAAGGTCCAGACTTTCTGATCACCCTGTATATTACTTGATTCAGAGGTATGTATTACGTATTACGTGATGAGATTGAGTAGTAGGTGTTTAGCAACGTTGCCGAACTGCCAAAAAATTGTTGTATGATTATTGATTTCGCATCAGCTGACATTTATTCCCCACGAGATCTAGCAACACTGCTACAAGTTTTCTAACCTATTCAAACCAACTAATAGGGGTTTTCTTTTTTTGATCGGTAGATCTGCCTAAATCCACCGATGGAAATCCATCGGCCGCCATTTTGGTACGAAATTGCCCTCGATCAGTCGGGAGTTTAAGAACACACTTTCCACTAAAGCCCTTTCCACACGTTGCAAGTTTTGCTGCAAGTGAGCCGAAAGTGGGAGTCATCACTCATCGATGATGCTGAAATTTGCGTCCCGTCCGCAAATTTCACGACCATCGATGAGTGATGACTCCCACTTTCAGCTCACTTGCATCAAAACTTGCAACGTGTGGAAAGGGCTCAATGTAAACAAATGGATTTCTTCCTCTCATCAAACCTTTACCGCAATGATACTGCAATAGTGCAAATATATACTCAATGTACCAGCATTAACTCCTTTTTTGCTACAAATAAAGTACGGGGGAAAATATCACTAAAAATATTACATAATTCAATACATAGGCGACAATGACGATCCAAGCAGAATCATCGGACTCAGCGACGGCGGGAGGCGCGAAATACTCACGATTTCTCGTTTGTTTGCTTGTTTTTGGCCCAAAGACATAAAGACGGAGCGCTCGTATCTAAAAGCACGGGGAAAAAGTGAAGCTAGGTTCGGCGCTGCGCGCTTGTGTGAGTGTGTAAATGAGCGCGGGAATCCATGGCGGCAAACGGAAATTTGATTTGAACTTGTCCTCTTGATTTTTCCTTATTTCTTCTTCGAAACGTGTTTTAAATGCTTAAAACGATTATATTAAGAAAGTTCGGTCTGCGTCCTAATATATTACACCTACTTTTGCTCGGTAACAGGCAGTAATCTCAGATAAAGTTAGTTTTTCTTCTGCTTATGGTGGTTCTGCAGGTTCAAACAGGCCGTTACAGTTCTAGATCTACGTTACTCCCAAATGAAATCAGTCGGTCGACGACGGACCAAAACTAACCTAAAGTTAATAAAATATGAGTGTGTACCTGAATTTGGGCAAAAATCAACCTAAAATACTTTGTTTCCGCAATTTTATTTATTAGTTCCCGCCCTACATTTGAATTCAAACTTGTCCCGATTTCGCCGCCAATCCTCTAGCCAATAGTAGAGGTGATTGAAAAGAAGCTCTAGAAGCTTCATTTTTTGCTTTTAGTGCTCCGTCTTTATGTCTTTGGTGAAAGGTAGGTGGTAATACCATCCATCGATGAATAAGGTTATGCTGGTTATGCCGAAGTTAGGCAAAACATTTCAACGGTCTCTTATGGAGGAAAGCTAGAATTTTAAGAAAATTTATGATTTCCCCGGTAACGAAAGTTTTGGAACTCTATGAAAAGCTGACGAGTTACGTAGAGAACATTGTAGTAGCACATAACATCCATCTTAGTGAAATTATCCCGTATTTTTCATCGTTTTTCACCTAGTGCCAAGTGTTGTTTCCAAGTATTTTGACTATGACTCCTGTTTTCCCAGCCTTTCCCAATGGCAATCATCTTGCGAATCATTTGTATGATCATAGTAATCTTCTTTGCTTTCAAAGTAATACTTTAGCTGCAGTGAAGAAGTATTCTGTCTTCTTTGTTTTGGCCTGAGATCTGGCTGAAGTAAGGTTAGGTTGTCCACCGGTGGAGCTGTGATCGGAGAAATGACCGATCACTCCGATCACTGATCGGTGGTACCAAATCCACCGGTCGTACTTCCACCGGTCGTGACGTCAGCACCGACGGATCAATTAACGAACACAGTTTGGTGATCGGCGGTACCACCGATCAAAAAAAGAAAACCCCTATTGTCTTGACTCTCAGTATAAAGGGACTCCAGGTTAGCTCTTAATTTGAAGAGAAGTGTGTCCTTCTCCTCAGTCTCTCCTCTCCAATAAAGTGCCCACTTTGCAGATACTCAAATAACCACTCTAAGGAACTTGAAGGGCATGTCAACAGACAGCATTTTGATGTCACCAGCCTTGAAATGTCTATTGAAAGAGGATCAAGCGATTTTAACTGCCCACTATGCTCTCAAAGTTACTCTAGTGCCTCTGACCTAGAGCTCCATGTAAATGTTGAACATGAAGATATTCTTAGTCCTGCGAAGGTGAGTAATCACTCCACTTTCCTAATACTTATTAGCACAGTTACTTTGGTCACAGAATTGTGTTACGATGGTTGAAACTCACAGGTAGATTGGCGGAACCTAGATAGACCTCTCCAAATGCCAACTCTCTGCACCGTGGAATAACAGAGGCAGAACTGTTCACTGAGACGTTGGCGAACACGATGTGTCTCAGATTTGGATAAGCGAAGGATCAGTTCAGATTCCAACTTTCCGCATGGTGTGTCAGTGAGAGGGCATATGAGTATATCCTCCTCATTGGCGACACAAGTATCTAATTGAGAAGATACGAGAGAGTAATGCATCCTTTCGCTCGTGATACTTTACACGTTGAAGATGGATTCGACTTGGGAGAACCAAAGCTGGGATTTCTCTAGGTTGAAAGGAAGAAGCTACCCTCCCGTACACCGCATCACGCTGCCCACCGACCGCTCGCAGCGGCAGCCTCCCGCCCCGCCCTGCCATTCGCTGCGTCGCATAAGCATCAAGGGAATTTTTCGACTTGCGAATTTCTGGCCACGCAATAAGCTTTATCAGAGAAATAATTTGTCCTGTCTAAGTTTCAATCCATTGTTAATAGTGATTTTCTTTTCTTTAAAATTTTTTTTTCAGCCCAATCGAATCGATTTGTCAACTGGACCACGCTCAGAAAGGAACCTTCAATGCCCTGTCTGTCCTCAAGATGTGTCATTTAGTGATGCTGAAACATTGCAAATACACATTGATACACATTTTAGTAGCAAAGGTAATTGACTTTGTAGTTTTAGCTCCATGTCATCGTCAAATTTTTAAAGCTCTCCTAGAGCCCGATTGTTGAAATGTATTTCGGCACGACAAGAATCGAAAATCGATATATTACACGGCTCAGATAGGGCTATGTCTTGTCTTATCTTGCTGACATAGCCAGTTAAAGTTCCAACAATCAGGCTGCTGGAGTGTCAGGTTTCGCCCGTAGGAGACCAACGAATGTAAAGTAGGCAGAGACAACTTATTTTACAGACCGTGCACTAGTTATTTAAGCAATGCTATCAGGTGCGGCCAACGTTGATGTCAGGGTCCAGCTATTTGCTGCCCATAAATGATTCATGACGGAAGTATTTCGAGTGCGTAGGCAGGGGCCAACTATCTTCAAATTTTATACAAATAGGGCAGGCCTTGACAAAAAGAAGATTGCAGACTTTTGGATGGAACGATTCAAGATGGCCTGAGCTAAAAAGTTGCCTTTCAGCATTAAATAATGCTCAATGTTCTCATAATTTCCTGCCATCTTTGTTGCCGATTTTTCAATATTTTTATTCAATATTATAGTTTTCTACGTTTCGGTTAAGGCCCATTAAATGCTTGCAAATATATCAACAGTGGAAATACAAGACCACGTATATCACTTGCAGCGCTTAAAAATCTTCTCCTTCATGTTATTTTTGTGAAGGAAAAGAAATGAATTTCATTCTTTGAAATTTTCACCGAGTTTTCTTCGCCTCAGAAAAAAAAATTCACGGAAGTTTTCAAGAAATGACGTTGGATGGTTTTCCGCTGAAAAAATCAAGTATGGCAAGAAGTCTATAACATCGGAAACCAAGATACGTGGTCGGGTAGTTTCACCGTCGACTTTCAAAATCACTTCAAAGAATACCTACAGGCCAGGATAAGAATCCCCCCCTTCCCATCTTGCAGGGGGATACTTGAGGGGCCATGGTCTTGGACCAGCAAAAGTCAATGCACCCTAATAATGGCAATTTTTTTTTTTTTTTTGCTAATTCTTATCACTTTCATTTTGCGAGAAATTCTTGTTATTACCAAGAAGACCATCCTCACACTCTAATCCACTATTTCATGGCTTATGGCGCGGGGTGCTAGGGAGCATTACAGGGTTCCAGAATTCCTCCAAAACGTTTGAAGCGGTGCGCTAGGATTGCACAATTTCATAGAGAATTCGTCGGTCATCAGATAGAGGTCTAATGGGAAAGCGTGCATCCTAATCAAGAAGGTAAAGAAATCTGGAATTTCCTATGAACACTGTGAAACCATTCAATTCATTTAAATGACGCAACAACTCGTGCAGCAGCTGCTAGTGTTGCCCAGAACTGACCACCAGTACAAAACTTGTACTTCGAACTTGTGCTTTGTTGCCGTCTTGGATTAAAATTTTCAGTTGGGTTCACTGACGAGTGTGATCTACTGATGAGGTATAAATAGACACAAAATCATAGATCTCTTGACAGGACCTCAACTTAATATTCCAATGCAAACTGCCTGAGCTGAACACTCTCCCCCATCGGTTTTGTACTGATCCACATTAGAGCTCCAAATTTTTGATTCTGATTGAAAATTGTTGAACTTTTTGGCTTTGTCCCCCCCCCCTCCCCCAATTGTGTGGGTACTGCACTATTTTAACACCTTGGCACACAGTTTGGGCCACGTTTTGGGGTTTTTTTCTCCTTTTTTTATTGATTTTTAAAGGAGATGGTCGACAAAATCACAATTTAAGGGCACAGCTAATAAACTGCTGTTTCACAAGATTAAATCAAGTTTGGGAACTATTGACGTATCCTTACCAGAAGTAAATTTTACGCTCTTTTCCATAAGAGTTTTTTCCTCAGATAATCTTGGCTGGAGATATGAAGCAAAGTTTCTCCTAAAATCAGCAAAAATGCGCTTTTTTCTAATCGTGGGTTTTCTCAATTTGGAAAAATTCAAAATGGCGGCGTCCTGAGCACCAGACAATGTTTCTGAAGTTAATGTGGGCATTTTCGGACTACTTTAGCACCTAGGAATCGAAAAAAATTGGTTTGATTCGAAGGAGAGAACCTATGTTGAGCGGTGTTATCCGTCTAAAAGTGATTTATTGGGATTTTCAGCATTATGAATCAATAAGTGTAGGGTTAAAATAGCTAACAATTACCAGCCATAAAAAATTCATGGGCCGTGTGATATTGCAGAGAAAATCGAAAGTGCCATCTTACTAGATAGTAGTGCATGCTGGTAGCTTTTATCATGGCAATTTTTTTGACAGGGCCCTTTCACAATACGTTTGAAATGGCCATGTTTCATCAGGAGCTTCTTTCGGCTAACTTTCCCTCCCATGAAAAGCAATAACGTCTTTTTTTCTTCTTTTCTTCCCCTACTTCCAGATGTTTCTCCATGGTCACCTAACATCAACATGGATCGTTTACTAGCTCAAGAACTGGAGAAAGCAGATAAAGAAACACAACGGTTGCAGGAAGAGCAAGAGTTTGAGCTGTTAAAGGTATGATCTCAAATCCCTGCTTTGGAGCACTCTTGCGCTGTTCTCAGAAGCAGGGAAGGGAGCAATAGCATTAAATCAATCAAAATATAGATAGTCAACGAACGGTAATAGCTATTTGACTCCAATCAGGAAAGTATGGCTGATAATGGTCTTTTCAACAGTTACATTTTACAAGTGCTTACAACCAAGACCACAATTACGCATCATTCTGCCCGAAACTCATGGAGACGACGAACGAAAATCTCAAATTAGCATATTCAATCCATCCACATTCGTGGGTTCCACGAACACCAGTTCTTTGTGAATGATTGCATTAATTTGGCACTCCGCATAACTTTCTACTGTTTTAAAGTTTTAAAAGTTCAAGTTTGAAAGTAAAAAGTCTCCCTGAAAAGTTGTAAGTCCTTATCAAAAGTCATATGCAAGCACAGCTTTATACCTATAATTTGAGAAAACTTGGTTCGTGGGTTCAACGAACACCTAATATTGATTTAAAGCGTTCGTGGATTCCATGAACACCTATTATTGATTGATGAACACCCAGCTCAAGAGTGTTTGTAGATTCCAGACAGACCCATTATGAATGCAGGGTAAAACAGGCTTTTGATCACTCAGTGAGCCTATTTTAGGTGAAGTTTTTCTCTATGCATCTTTTGGAAAAATGGACGGATGACGATCAGTTTTTCAATCCTTTTGTCAAATGCAAAACGATTCCACTCGTGGAAACCTGTAAAAGACGGGGTATATTCCACAGTAAATGAGAGCATTTGAAGGTCGCATTTTCTGCAAAGATTAAGTAGCAAGTATGTTATGCAGGCGGAAATTCATTATTTCTGTAGCTGAATCTTCATGATCTACACCATTCTTACTTGTCGGAAACTTGATTGTATGAATGAAAAGTAACTGATTTAAACTAACTAAATCTAACCCAACCAAAAACTTAGGGTAAGTGAATCCATCCAAAGCTAAACCTAACCTAAAGTTTATTTTTGGTCTACGGTCAGCTCTTGTAATTGATTTTGATGGGATCAGACGAATCAATTTCAAAATCTGATATCATGGGAAGGCGAAGGCTATCTGACGAAGGCGACGAATTATCATAAGATTGACGTATTGTAACTGCAGAGCTGAGTGACTTGTGCGAAAGTGTACATCCCTTTGGTAACTCGAACACAAAGAAATGTTAGATTTTTGACCAGATTTAGGACCGGAAATGAAGGATGGAAGTTGGAAATAAAAAGTCCATCAGCAATCAAAGTATAATGCTGAATTTCAGTTTTGACGTAATTGTAATTGAAGACACCGCACCAAGAACACCCTATAACTGGAAACCGCGTTTTGAGAAAAACGCATTTAAAGTTTTGTTTTTGATGTACTGCCCAGACTTTTCTATGCAGGTACCCTGTTTTGGTGTTTTTGGGTGACCTAACCCTTCTATTGAAGGATGCCGGGTAGATTTTGCGATACATTTTGGGTTTACACTCTAATATATTTAATTTAAAAAAGCGGTTTATAGGCCATTATTACGCCCAACAGTCATTTTGGTGGCAATATGAAGTATAAATCATTTTAATCACGCATGATTAACGCAAAATGAGAGAATATCGATAGTGAGTAAAGAAAGGGGTAACTAGCACCTTATACCTAGGCCTTTAAGTTTATAGGCCCGTTTATAGGTCGTTCTTGCACCCATCGATCCAGAGGCCTGACTTAACTCGGAAAAAAAGGTTTTTCGACCTCGAGCCGTTACCTATCTATATTCTATCGCTACCACAGCATAGTCTAGGGTACGTAGAATCCGAAAAGCAGATGGGTGTAATAACGACCTATATGCCTATAGGCTGTTCTTGGTGCAATGTCCTCAATTATAGAGCTCGGTACATTTATAGTAAGTAGCTCAAAATAGTAATAATCGGTTATTTGAAGTGAATACTTATCAGCAGTCTCATGTAACCCCAAAGCAATATGTTGGTGAAAAAATCAACCCTGTTGTAACTCTCATTTCAGGGATTGTGTTTGGTTTTAAGGTTCAATACGGGATGGATGATGAATGTAACTTCAAAGAGCAGTCGATTAAAAACATGAAGAAGGAAGTTGAAGCGGGAACACTGTCTTTGGCTGATTTTGCAAATCGTCAGCATGGACTGAGGCTTGCTGAGAGCAATGGACTTGACGATGGATCATCTTGCACACAAAGTGAGTACTGTGTCATTTCATTTTGCTATCTCTGTCGAAACACTGTTATGTGACCTTAGGGTGATTAAAAGTGAAGAGTTTGTCTCAGATTTTGGCTCCTAATAGAAATTCTGGAGCTGCATACTAATTAAATTATATGTATTAATAAAAGTTGTAAAAAAGGGCTAGTATTCTTCAGGGGATACAAGGTCAAAAAGTTCACTTTCTGTCAGTGTCCAAAGTTTTGAGCTCCATTGAGTGCCAGCTAGCAGTAGAAATCCGATGAATATCCTACCAATACCCTACGATTTCGATTATCCTCCGAATATCCTGGTTTTTTCAGATTATCCTCAGAATATCTTATGAATATCCGAAAAAACGGCATTTTAGATTATTCCCTGAATGATCATTGGACAATCTCCTCCCAAGTACAGAGAGGCTCTTTTATAAATTTTGAAAATTGTTACATCGTTGTATGTATGTAATTCTAATTCTGATCCGACCCCGAGAACCTTTCTCTTTCTGTAGGGATCCCTGCCCCCCCCCCTCTTCAATATCAATCAAGCCCTCTTTGTTTACATTACTTTATCAGTTTATCACTTGGTCAGGTTGAGTCTGACCGGTTTGATGCTAGTGGCGATCATGCAAAAGTTCTGTGTATTGGATCGGTTTAATCGTGATAATTTGGCGAGTTTTGTGATTCTTATGTTAATCAAATCTAGTGTTAACGTCTGAGCAAAGGAGGGTACGTATTATGATGTGAAGTATGCGATTTTCGAATATTTGAAGTTAGCTTTGATTCGGCGTGAAGTATCATGGGTTTTCTAAGTCGTGAAATTTTTGAATGGAGCCACTTTTTGACATAGTTCGCTCACTCAGTTGTGAGGGAACTTTGTCTCTTACACCATTGCTCTTCAAATTGTTAGATTCTTGTGCAGTTTTCTGTTTGTGTGAATTAGCTGAGGTGTTAAGGTTAACTTCAAACTGATAGTGTGTCCACTTTGATTATGATCTTTAACATCCCACTATTTTGCCTAAGTAGTTTAGAAATTCTATCATTGTTTAAGTTTTTGACGGACAAAAGACAAACCTTCATCTTTAGAGCTTCCTGGTAAGGTATTGGTCATTATAGCGTAAGATGCTCCCTTCGTTTGCTGTATCACCATCTTGAATTTAAGTTAAACATACCTAATGCCCAGCGCTTAGCGGACACATGCTATTATTAAAGTATGCAGAATATCGATGGTTAAAGTGAAGACAATGTATCTCAATTTGCAAAATTAGACTTCCAGTCATACTTTATTTCTTCCTTGAAAAAGTAGACAACGTGGTTTCTCGAAACTTTTTTGATTTTTCTTCTCTGTCAGTAAATTATTTTATACAATTTCAAGCAATGAAGTTGACTCGTTCCTTTCTGAAAGATTTTCCAGGAGTAAAGATGTTGAAACACTGCAATGGAACACGTTGTGTTGCACTTTAGCCATCAATATTGATTAAAATGTGTAAATCGTACACATTCATGGGATTCATAAACGCTGAGTAACTTAAAATCAGCTCGCCAATGTTAATCGTTATCCTCAGTTGCGACACAGAGGGCACGAATCATCGAAAGACGATGAAACAGGTGTGACGACATGTTCATTTTCTGAAGTATAAGGGAAGAAAAGAACTGTGGGTCTGAGCAATTGGCAGACCTGACGATCATGTACCTTCTAAGCAAGCTGCTGTTTGCTTGCTGCATTTCCATGAACAAAATTTCATCCGAGTCTTATTCTAGAGGAAAAATCAGTCCGGCCAGCTAATGAATTACACTTTGGAGCAACTGGAGCCGGACTTGACATTTTTCCATCAGCCAGCCTACATGTCTTCAGCCCCGGCAGTAGCAAGGAATAATCCAATTTAAAAGCGTAAAATTGTCGAGAGAGAAGATGACAATGAAACTAGAGGCGACATTGTTATTGATCTGATAAATGCGTTGTATCTCATGCCAGTATTGATGTCATGCAGACTCTGGCATTATTGGTTTGCTCCCTTCATTTTTTCCTTCTGTACTGTTTGTCTTTTACACGTAGTTTTTTCATTAACTGAACTTAAACATCTCCATTTTCCACATCTTATCACATTTTAAGCTGTTATTAAGTGTTTTTTTCAACAAACTTGATGCATTATTTCCTTCATTATGTTTTTTAAAACGGCGATTTGGACTGCGTTACACAGAAATGAACCAAGCCACATCAGCTATTGCCAAATTTAGCTGGGCAATTATTTTTATTTATGAAAATGGTTGTGTGGATTTTTGTGCAAATTTCAGTGAATATTCTTTGTAATACAAAGCAAATTTCTTAAAATTTTTAAAGGAATCTGCACAAACGTTCTCTCGTAAAAAATTAAATTGCCCAGTTAAATTTGGCAATAACTGATGTGGCTCGGTTCCTTTCTGTCAAATGCGGTCCATTTATCACTGATAAACAACTTTTACATGGAACTGTAGGTACGGTTTCTACAATTTGCTTGCTTAGAGCTGAGGTCCATAATTAAAAAGGTTAGTTGCGCTGGTTGCAGAATTGTGTTTTGATTTTTGATTCTTGAAGTTCAGCTGAAAAGAATATGATCCGGTATCGCGCTTTGAAAACTTTGGTTTGTGACATCATCCACCGCGGTAGTGACACCCATGGTTTGTTCCACCATGCTTTCATCCGAGTTTTGGATGGCGTCATGAACTGAATTTTTCAAAGTGAAATATCTTGGTAAATATTAAATGAAGAAAGTGTCTGTCTAGACAGATCTCATATAATTTGTAGCTGATCCACTAGAATCAAACATCAAAACACGATTTACGAAACCCATTAAAATGAATCACCAATAGGCCAATGTGCATAGAATACTTCCCTGCAACCATTCTGAGAACTCAAAAAAGTTCACCGGAGGGGGGGGGGGCGACTCATCGGGGCTGATATAACGGTCGGATATGAAGAGTGTTCCGAAAATTGAAAGTTCTGAGGAACTTTAATACGTGAACTAAAGATCTAGATCTCTCGGCGTGACCTCAACTTAATTCCAATGCAAGCTGCCTGAGCTGAACACTCTCCCTCTCAGCCTTGTACTGATACTCATTAGAGTTCAAAATGTTTGGCTCTGACTGAAATTTTTAAACTTATTGGCCTTGTTTTCCCCGCAAAATACTGTTGACCCAGCACTATTTTACCACCTTGTTAAAATTGTTACATACCTACAGGTCGGGCCACGCTTCTTAGTGTTTTTTTTCTCGTCTAGCGTTAATGGACCGAGTTTATCAGAAAGGTACCAACCCACATTTTTGAAAATATGAGCCTTCTGCAGGAATATAACTTCAAACCTCTCTTTCTCAGTTTCAACTGAATGTGGGCTAGTTCCTTTGTGATGAACTAGGTCCAAAGATACGCCAGGTATGCAAAAAACAATAAACTCTGCTGTATTGAATCTGGTGCTTGTTGACTGAAAATACTTTTTTCGCCAGAGGCTAGTGCATTGCTACTTGTCTTTTGAGTTCATCTTTGGCCTTTAATGTTCGTATTATTAAATTACAGATCTAGCTCTTGTGGTTGCAGCTGCTAGCCGTAACTGTTCCAATGTTGCTGGTGCATTTATGTGTTCCTATGTTGATCATTATGCTTCGACCTACGGTGATAGGGGTTGGGGCTGCGGTTATCGGTGAGCATTTTCAGAGATTTTCTTTTTTGAACTGGTGTATTGATCCTATTTTGAAAGTTGCATCCTTTAAAGTGGCTGTGATCTGGCTGCTCTTACTGGGCCACCAGCGAAAAACTTGTGCTTGAAGTCATGGGTCCAGATGCTTCGCAATATATCGCTGACCAAAAAGACCAAGATGACCATGTATCTCCAAAATGCCTGATTTTCAGGAAAGTCTAAAAATCGTTTTCCCTTTCCATTTAAAGTAACCAGGGCCAAAAACCGGCGATGACATGCGTTTATAGTATTTGTGAAGAGAATAATATTCTCTTACATCTTTTTTCAACTTACTTTTAATTTTTTCTGCCTCTCTTCCCTTTCCTTCCTCTTTCTCTTCTCATTTTCTCCTTTTTTCTCGGTTTACATGGTAAAATGATATATAATATACAGGGTGATCCAAAAGTCCCCCCCCCTTTTTAACTCTATACTTAATTGAGGTAAAGGTTAGAAACTCGGGGGACGTTCTGAAGTCACAGGGAGCTACTTCTGAGTCCCCTTAACATTTTCAGGGAGGTCTCGGGGGGGGGAGGGGGGGTCCAGCGGACCCCAACTTTTTTTCTAAAGGGAAGACCCTCCTTGTGATATCTCGTCCAAAAGAATATACAAAAAGAAAACTTTTTGCCCAAACCCGAAGTTAATATCTCAATTTAATTCAAAGATTGTCAAAGTTTTTTGTACCCAAGGTTTTGCACTAGTTTTGTACCCAAATGTACTGCAAAGAAATAGTTTTGTACTCATCATGTAAAGTACATAAACTTAAAACGTAGGAGGAGGGGCTGGAGAAATTAAGCCCCCCCCCTCCCCCCACTTCTCAAATTCCACTGTTTCTTATCGACAAAGTTTTGTACTAGTTTTGTACCGAAATGTACCGTTTTAAAAAAAATTTGCACCCTCACGATAAGAGGGCTACTTGGGGGGGGGGGGGAATACTTTCAAAAAAACGGACCTAGGTACTCGAAAATCCTCAGAATGTATGGGTGGATTTCAGGTAATGGGAGAAAATGGTTCTGAAAAAAAAGTTGAAAATTGATTTGGCTATACCAAGCTAAAGACTACTTTTCTGTTATCTTAGAGCTCCATACTATAGCATTTAATTTGGTGCATCGCAATATCTTTACGATTATTTTTCTTGTCCAAGCCTGACATGTCAGTTTGGTTTGAACATGTCAGGTTTGGTGACATCATCAAACCTGAAATTTTGCTGCTATTAGTTTTTCCTGCCAATTTACAGCAACAAAATCAAACGAATCATTGAGGTTAGGTCGAGAGGCCACCTGTAGATATAAGAAAAAAATATTTATATAATATTTGCTAACATATTCCACCAAAAGTTTTGATGGTAAACAGCGTCACCAAACTGACATTGAATAAGTGAGACACTCCAAAAACCATGGAAAAAACTGAAATCATGCTGAAATTGGAAGAGATATGTGGACTTATCAAGTAAACGTCTGTTCGTTCTCCTTTTTTGCACTCAGTCATACCTTAATTCGCATACTAAGCGGTATCTCTTGAGTGGCCACAAACCAAAACGCATAGCGTCACCGAACTGACATAATATTGAGTTTTACGCTTCTAGTCTCAAATTAAATTGAATAATATAGTTTTCTGGTGTCTCAATGTATATTATATCAAACAATATACATTCAAGACTTTAAAAAAAATGTACAAAGCTGGCAAAAAGTCCTGGTTTATTTATATAACGATTTGATACATTGACTACCTCCGAGGCACACATCACCAAACTCACATTTTCACTGTTTAGCACGTTGAAAAAAAAGTTTAGAGTTTTTCAAATCTCCTGAGGAATTTTTGCGTGGTTGGTGTGACCTGTTTCTATGCAAAAAACTATATATTGAGAGAAAATATTATAGTTGAAAGTTTTGAGCAACCAGTTACACGTCTTTTCCATATTTTGTCCCATTAGCTGAAATCCACCCGTATACTACGCGTTTGGTACCGAAATGTACCGTCGAAGAAACCGCACTTTTTTTACCCGAAGGCTCCCTGGAGGGGGGTCCCCCGCCCCGTGACAGTATTGATCACGCCGTTTCTGTGTCATGGGTGCTCAAATCAGACTGTTTCTTTACTTCTTTTACTAGTTCTAGGTTAGTACCGAAATGTACCGTTCACGAAAAGTTGTTTACCCTCATGATAAGGGGGGGGGGGGGGTGTCAAAAGTTGGGGAAGGGCTGGAGAAACATTTTTGAAAAACGGATCTAGGTACTCGAAAACCCTCAGAATGTATACCAAGAGTTTTGTACCGAAATGTACCGTCGAAAAAAACCGCACTTTTTTTTATATTAATGTAATATGGAGAATGTAAAATCCGGGAATGGGGGAGGCAGGACAGAAGAGACCTTTCGTCGGGAATGTTTGGATAAGAATAAGTTATTTACCTGCATTGATCTGTTAACTTTACTAATGTTGATTTTTCTTTATTCCTTCCTTCAAATTGTTCGTCCTTTTCAAAGTCAATCAGTGTCAGCATGCTCTGTAAAATAGGAATCAAATGTTAGAATCGCTATTTGTGCTCACTGGGTCATCTGATCATAATGGCTAGCAGAAAGGACGGCGCTGTGATTCGAGGGGTAAAGGTAGCACACAATTGCGGCATTTAATTTAGTGCTGTCACAGGCAAAACAGCAGCTGGTCGCAACACTGAACGTGATGAATTATTATTCTTAGGAGTCCTGCAAATGTTCCTGTACAAAAAATACCTTGATAGATATTGGTAATACTAACTAAATCCCTACTTTATTTTTTATTTTTATCTTGGTATTTGTGAGATGAACGCCAATAAAACGCATTATGAAGGGGGGAGGGGGGTGTCTTAAAGACATGGAAAATATTCTCCAAGCTCCATAAAATAGCAATCACCCGTTGAAATTGCAGATAAGGCCGCCTGACCGTAAGCAGCGACGACGTATTCGTGAAGGAAGGGTAGTGCGCAACTGCGAAATTCAAGAGACAAAGTGTCGTCACAGTCACAGTGGCGCTTTTCGGCAGCTGATTTTTCCGGATTATCATTCCCAAGGGTCTTACGAATGTCCCCATACAACAGAAAGCTTGACACTAGTTGCACTTTTTTTTAAATTTTTACTTAAACTCTCTTTTTTAGTATCTTTGAGATAGGTGCCCTTGAACGGTCATTACGACTGTGAAAAATAATATAAAAAATACTTATATTAGTGAAAAATGTTCTTCAAACTCTGCAGATTAACAATCAATCGTTGATTTTTACATTCGTGGAAGTTGTGATGGACTAGATGAGGTAAAAAGAATTTTATGTAACTTGGTTGGCATTAGGAATTCGCGTAATACCCATGTTTGGGATGATGTGACGGGTAAATAGAAATGATTTGGCCCAAACTAGTGCCATATCCTTTAAATATAACCCTTAAAGATCTCTTTTCAGCCGCCAAACATGGGATTGGCCGAAATGGCCTATGTCCGACCTTTACCATTGACTCATTCCATAGTGCGCCGTAGGATGGTGTGCGGATCTCCCGGTGCTACCTGATTATTTTCGGTCTCGGTTTTTCTGAGGGAAACTCTAAAAAACTTTATTTTCTTTTTCTCTTCCTAAGAAGGGTATACGACTGTTACTTTTACTTTGCCCAGTTTTTTATCATGTATTTTCTAGAAGTCCTTTTCTTTGGTTTATTGTTCAGTCTAGCGTTCATTAAGCTAAACTAGCTCTTATTGGGTTCCCCTGTCCCCTCGCTATTTTCTCTCCACAGCCACTCCTACTGGTACCCAATAGTGTTTTAATTTTCTCCTTCTCTCTATCTCCTGCTGGTTCCCAGCAGCGTTTATTCGCTTTTTTCTCTTCGCCACTCCTACTGGTATCCAGTAGTGCTCTCACCTCTTTCCCTCTCGCCTTTCCTGCTAGTTCCCAGCAGCGTTTCTCTCTTTCTCTCCTATTGGTTTCGAGTAGCGTGTTTTGTCTCCCTCTCTCATACTGCCTTCCAGTAGCGCCCTGTCTCTCTCTCTCTCCTACTGGCTCCCAAAAGTGTTCTGTCTCTATCTCTCCGACTGGTTCCCAGTAGCGATTTTTCCCACTGAATTCCAGTGGCGTAGTGTAGTAATCAGGGCATTAGTTTTTCTCGATTTCAATAGTCGCGCTCAGTTTTGTCGCTGGTTTTAAGGCTCTTCTAGCCATCAGTCCACGACGCATCTTGGCCCTCTGCCTCACCCGTAAAACTATTGTTCAAAAATTCAAATTGTTCTTTTCTATGAGTTTTTTTCTAGTCGTTTTCGCTTCAAAATTTAGGGAACCCAGATTCGCTCTGTAGCCGGCCCCGTGCAGCCTGGTAGTCTCACATTTACAACTCATACATTCCACTCTTTTAATTCTCTTAATAACTTTCTTATTTATTTTTTTTTTATTAGAGTATCTTGTCCTGCCAGACAGCGAGAAAATTGGTATCTGGAAGTATTTTGACACGAAAAAAACGCATTTAATGTCAGATTTTTGAGAAACCTGAATTTTTCCTGACGGCGACCGATTGAAGTTCAGAATGGCCGAAAATTGTTTTTGTTTTTAAAAATATATCTTCAAAGTTAATGTCATGCTGAAAAACTCCTAGATTCCAAGTTTCAGACAAATCCATAATAGAAAACCGAGGTACCAATTTCGGCCGTTTTGAACTATAATTTTTTTCGAAAACTTCAGTTTTGACGCCATCTGACGCCAAATGGATTTTTTTCGTGTCAATATACGTCCATACACTGATTTCCTCGCAAATCCATCGACGAACAACCGGTTTCAAATTTCTGTTATCTTGAACATTAACCAGTAGCTATTTTGAAACAGTTTGAGGTATTGACTTCGGGTTGGCGCGAAAAGTTTTCTCTCTTTATGCTCTCTCGAGCCACAAGCGGTTGCTGGCGGCAAGAAACTTACTGTTCTTTTTAACGGTTCATCGGAAAAACTTGAACTAGGTCTTGTTTTGAAG